GTGTTTATTTGAAATGGAGCGTAAGCCCCAAAATCAGAGAGCCCTCACCCACTGTGTTCACCTCCCAGTGGTTCCCGTAGAAGAAGAGGCCAAGAGCAGATTGCAGGTGGGAGCTAGCAGCTCATTCCAGATCCTGTGCCATGGAATGGCAGGAGCTCCCTGGACCATAGCTGCTGCCTCCCTGGCTGTACATTAGCAGGAAGCTGCGACCAGGAGCAGAGCTGGGTCCCAAGTCCAGGGCTTAACTCCTCAGCCAGCTGGCCAATTGTTAAAGGCTGGGCTCAGCTCTGATCACCTAAGAGCGCAGTCATTGTGTTAGCAAGCAAGGCTCCTAACACAGCGCAGTTGATGTGTTAAGGTTTTCTGTCACTGTGGCTCTTCCCTTGACAGAAGGGAGCAGAAATTAGAGAGGCATGATTCTGCAAGGACACCTGTCCTCCGTGTGCTTCCAGGAGGTTCTTGGGAGAGTTGTTGAGAGAGTTTTGCTGGCACCCATAATGAGAAAGATCGTGAGATCATGAGAAAAGTCATGGGAAGGAAAACCTTGTTGCCAGTCCAAGACCACAAGAAAGCGCTGTCCAGGTTAGCCCTGAAATCCAAGAGGCTACCAAGGGGCTTCATGATGACGCCTCATGGCTCACCTGCAGATAACCATGTTTAAATGGGCCGCTCCTAGCTGCGTCAGCGCCAATGACAGTGGACTCTATGCGTGCTGTTGGAAAGTACACGCTTTTTTTGAAATATTTTTATTTATTTTTATTGCAAAGTCAGATATACAGAGAGAAGGAGAGACAGAGAGAAAGATCTTCCGTCAGATGATTCACTCCCCACTGAGCACAACGGCCAGTACTGCGCCGATCTGAAGCCTGGAGCCAGGAGCACTTCCTGGTCTCCCATGCAGGTGCAGGGTCCCAAGGCTTTGGGCCATCCTCTACTGCTTTCTCAGGCCACAGCAGGGAACTGGGTTAGAACTGGCAGCCATATGGGATCCCGGCACGTTCAAGGCGAGGACTTTAGCTGCTAGGCCACCGCACCAGGCCCGGGGAGTACACGCTTTGAGTCTCAGTGCCTGTGTCTTCTGTAAGCGGGGAGTGGTTTCTTGCTTTTCATGCTCTGCGCGTTGAGAGATAAGGGGATGGTTTGTGTTGGCTGCAAGCAAGGCTCCTAGAAGCCTGCATTCCTGCGGACGTGTTCTGCTGCAGAGAGGCCGTCCCAGAATCAATATTTGTATAGGAAAATTTCCCAAGCCTCCCCCTGCTCCCGATCAGATAAAAGAAGAATTAAAGCTGTCAAACCTAAGTAACTGCTTCCTCCTCCTTCCATCACCAGGGCCTCCTCCCAAGGGGAGGAAATCTCTGCTTATCCAGTCCGTGCACAGAGGGGTCCCCCAAGCCCTCCCTTTGAGACACGTCCATCTGGACATTTCGTGCCTGAGACTTCATGGCATGGTTATAAATCCTTGGAAATCAGGGTTTCAGTGCATTTTTGTTCCCATGTGGTAGATGTGAACTGCAGGCAAACATGCATTTTTTTGGTACTAGGATTGTGTGTGTTTATTTTTAAGGAAGTAGTGTTATTTCTAGGCTGGAATGGAATCCTATGGTTGATTTGTCGTAAGAGCACTGAGCCCAAAAACCCAGCAGCACCTTGTAGGACGCAGGCTGAGAGATGATGAGTTAATCCCACCCAGAGCCTTCCTGGCTGTGCCACTCTCCTCTCTGGGTCTGTGAAGTGGACAGCAAAGACAGGGCAGCCGGTGCAGCGCTGCTGTGGATGGGGAAGCAGCAACTTGAGGCCGACTTCTCAGTCTCCACTTTACTTCTTCACTTCTCTGTTCCTTTAATTGCATTTCTGCATATTAAGAATTATGTCAGGGGGCCGGCGCCATGATGTAGCATGCCAATTCTGGAACATCCATGTACCAGCATCGCAAATGGGTTCTGGTTCAAATCCTAGCTGCTCTACTTCCAGCCTAGCTCCCTGCCTGGGAAAGCAGTGGAGGATGATCCAAGTGCTTGGTGACCTGCACCCACATGAGAGACCTGGAAGAAGCTCCAGGCTCTTCGTTTCAGACTGGCCCAGCTCCGGCCACTGCAGCCGTTTAGGGAGTGAACCAGCAGATGGAATATCTCTTTGTCTCTCTCTCTCTGTCTCTCTTCTCTGTCTTTGAAATAAAAATAAGTAAACCCTTTTGAATTAAAAAAAGAGAGAGAATAAGAAGAGGAATTATACCAGAATCTCAATAATCAGGAAGCTTTCAATCCTAGGGTTTTGATTCGTTGTCCTGCATGTTCTGTGACCTAATGTAGTTAGGCAAAAAAAAAAAAATAATAATAATTCACTACACCACAGACAGACCAGAGGCTCCTTTAAAGACAAGCATAAATCTAGGAGGATAAAATATTCTAAAATGTCAATTTCTGAGATTTCCCTCAAGACTAAAACTTGAAAGAGTGAAAAACTAGAAAATAGCACACATCAAGTGCCAAAGGATGGTTGGTGATAAAATGAAATTATTCCATATCAGTATATTATCTGACCCTCACAGAAAAGACTTCTTACATGTAGGTTTTAGGGGGTTTTGTTTGTTTGTTTTTAAGATTTATTCATTTATTTGAAAGAGTTACAGAGTGTGGGAAAGAGAGAGATCTTTCGTCTGCTGATTGATTCTCCAGATAGCTGCAGCGACCAGGGCTGGGCCAGGTCAAAGCGAGGGGCCAGGAGCGTCCTCCCCAGTCTTCCCTGTGGGTGCAGGGGCCCAAGAATTTGGGCCATGTTCCACTGCTGTCTCAGGCACATTAGCAGCGAGGTGGATTGGAAGTATAGCAGCCGGGACTCAATCTGGTGCCCACATGGGATGTCAGTGTCACAGGTTGCAGCTTAGCTTCCTGCAGCACAATGCCAGCCTCCCTTATGTGTGTTCAGTTGGTTGAGTATAATTTGTCCTACAGCTCCTTGTACTTGAAGGGGCGTTTCATATATTTTCTGCATTTTGTTTTTCCCTTTTGTAGTCCTACTTCTGGTCTTACACAGAAAGCTGGAGTTTTTTCCTTTGTTCTATTTCCTCTCCAATGGGTGAACTGTGGCAATTGGAGACCCCGTTTGAACAGTTCTGAATGGGGCTTTGTGAGCAAAGCTTGTGCCCACGCACACTTGTTCCCACCTGGCCTTAGAGGCACGGCTGGAGGGCTGCCTCAGCCCGCTCTGTGACGCTCACTGGGCCCCATAACCTCCTTCCTGTCTCCTTCAGCACTTCACAAAGAAAGCCACAGGTAGTCAGAGGTGGTGCAGGCAGCTTGGGCTGCCTCGGCCCCTGGGAGATGAATGGCTCGGCCCCATGAGCATTGGCAGTGGTGTACTGTGTGTTCTGTGTTGTGGGCGGGCACCGCAGAAAGCAGCACACTGCAGTAGGCAAGGATGGAAAAGCAAAAGGTACACAACGTGACTGTTGTTAAAAAGGCACAACATGGAGAGTGGGGTTTAAAAGTACATAGAATAATGGCAACTCCATCGGTGGCAACCCAGCAGGAGAGCCGGCCTGCTTTGGACAGTTAGGACAAAAAGCATGAACATGCAGTGGGTGGATTCAAGGCTTTGCCACTCTCCTTAGGGCCACCACTTCTCCCATTCATGTCGTTGACCAGTTGTTTCCATTTTGTCTTTAGAAAGCAGCAGCCAAATCTTCCTGCTTCTTCCACTCATCACATCTGCCAGGTCGGAGCTGTCACCCCTCCGGCAGTAGTGGTCTGTGGGCCTCCCAGTTCTCCTCTCGCTTCCCTCAAGCCCGCTGTCCATTAAGAAAGCCAGAAAGGTCTTTGGAAAGCCAACATCAAATCATGCAATTCTCAGTTTAAAACTCTTCATCATACCCCACATGCTTATACTCAAATCTATATTTGCATGGTCTCTACCATCCCTAGACATGTTGCCTATCTGGGGCTTCTGCCATGGGTAGTTCATTCCTTCTCTCAGATCTTTTCTCAGGGAAGCACCTTTGCCTCATCTCTGAACTCCCCAGCTGGTTTTCTACCAATTGTTCCTTTGTTCCCTGCAGTCCATCCCGGCCTGGGCTTTCCCGTGTCTGAAAATGACCATTACTAGTCATGGTCTTTGTGATTCACTGACCATTGCCCAGAGAGGGTGCTGTGGACTGTGTACCTTGTGATGTCAGGGATTCACCCCTGTTGCTCACAGGTGTAACCCTAATACCAGGCTCCTCGCAGATGTGCCGTAAATGGGAAAAGGAGGGGGCCTGTTCTGTAACAAGAGAAATCCTGCAGCTTCCATGCTCAGATCAGAGACACATCAGATACCCTTTTGACGCTCAGCATTAGTAGGCCAATGGAGAGTCAGAGGCAACTCAGGTTCCAAGAGGCCCTTTAGTATGAAGCTGGGGTTCACACTCAGGAGAGCAAAGCTCCAGAGAGATGGAAGAAGGGGGATAGTGGAATGAGAGGCTTTGGGTAGAAGTTGATGGCACCTGCTGAGCAAGGGACCCAGGAAGAGGGGAGGGAAGAGAGAGGCTGGCTGGAGACCTCATGGCCTGGAGTTGTTGCAGTAACAGCACTAAGATCATGTTAAATAGGGTGCTTCCTTCATCATCTGGCGTGTCAGCAGCCACCCTGCAAAGCTATCACTGAAATAATGCCTATGGCTGCTCTCACAGGAAGCGAATGGGAGCCTCTGTCTGAATCCACAGTGTGTTCTTGGGGAAAAAAGCACGAGGCTGATAACAATGAGGGCTGGGTGGGCCTAGGGGAGGGGCAGAATGGAGGTCGACTCCCCCAGCGCCACCAATGCCATGAGTGAGACAGTGTGCAAGGGGGTGCCTAGTGCCATCCGTTAACTTTCCATCCCAGTGACCAAAACAATTGTCCTGATACTTACATTTTGGTCATCTAGCTGAAGCTTGCAGTCCAACTGCTGTCTGAAAGAGAATCATCTGCAACATTTGCTTATTAGGGCTGAGTTTTTAAAATATTGTTCTCTCTGTTTTTGAGCAGTTGAACAAGACGAAGAAAGCAGTGTTAAACACGTAAACACCACAAAAGCCGAAGATGTCGTGGACTCTCAGGTACCGTGGGAGCTGTGACAACAATTCCCTGGGGCCCTTTTGTAAACAGAGGTGACTCCGTAGGTGTATTGGCAAGGGGCGCAGGCTTTCCCTTCTGTCTTCCACAAGTATTTGTGCTACTGCAAAGAAAGCATTTGGTTTTCATCTAAAGGTAATCACAAAAGTGGCCCTAAATTGCTCATCCTATTTATACCGTGATTCCTGGGATAGAGGCAAGTGTAAGAGACAGAATCACAGGCAGGAGGAGTTGAAAGAGATGGTTCCCCCTCCCGTAGTCAGGAGAAGTAGTAAGGGGAGAAGCACAGAACGGGCAGGTGCAGCAGTAAGTTAGGCAGTCGCCACCCATCACCCCACATCTGAGCACGAGTTCAAGCTGTGCATGTCAGGCTTCCTGCCCAGCTCTCTGCCAGCACACCTGGGAAGGCAGCAGGAGATGGCCCAAGCCTTGGAGCCGGATCCTGGGGAGTGAACCAACAGATGGAAGAGCTCTCTGTCTCTGTCATTCTGCCTTTCAAATGAAAAAAAAAAAAATCTCAAAGTAATGATAATAAAAGGAAGAAAGGTTGCCCTGAGGGTACCACATTCCCTGAGGATGGTGGGAGCTTACTCAGGGGAATAAGGTGGCCGGTGGCTCCCACAGCTGGGATTTCTCACTTTACAAAGATCTGTGTCAGGCATGGATCTGCTTTTCTGGAGCAACTTTTCCTCTAAATGTGGTATAAGAAGTATGGCATCCTCGTGCTGTATGAACTGTTAGCTTTATACCAAAGGGGGGGGTTAGAAGATTCCCCATCTGATTAAACTATAGGTTCTGAATCTATGAATTCCTTCCAGAACCGTCACGTGGATGCTTTCAGTCAGGTGGCACAGCCTGTAATGTTTCCACCAATTTAAGTTGTTTTGCTGTGATAATATTCAGAAAGATGCAGTAGGCAAAACTCATGGCGAAGTTACTGCCCAGCGTTTCACACAAACTCAGGTAGGAAGTCCTAGCTCAGGGTGTCAGACACCTTCTCAAAGATCTCCACAAATCATTAACTCATTAATGGCACAAGTATTATTAAACATCAGCAGGAAGCGATTCTTTGTTTTGAACTTACTCTGTGGGGCCGAAGTCTAGAGACAATTTTATTTCTCGAAAGGATGCTCAGCTCCTGATGTAGGAGTGCTGTGATTCCATCCGGCAGCAGTGACTCAAGTTACTTTTACAAGCTGTGGGTAAGAACAAAATCATGTGAGCAGCGACTCAGGGACAAGCTCGGGAGTAGACCCTGTGTGTGGGAAAGCCAAGAGTCGCCTTCCCTGGGAGCCATGATAGGGTTGGAGGCTCTAGGAAGCAAGACAGCTGGCACATGCTCTAGTTGCTCTGAGATGTGATCTGACTCCTCCACTCCCCAGCAGAGTCCCCTGTTCAATTAGCTTCCTTCTACAAGCTCATCTGTCTAAACACTCTAGGCACAGAATCCAAGTCATCATCTTCAAGAAGACATTCAGATGGTCGTGGTCAGATCCCTAAGAGGTTGAAAGTACAGGCATGTAGTTTACACGCAGTATGCACCTGCTACCTACTGTGTGTGGAGAGTCGATGAGAGCCTGTGTGCTGGGCTACACGGTACTTCACACACCTTAGCCTTCACTCCAGAGCACGCTTTAAGCAAGGCCAAGTGGAAACTCACTACTTCTTCCCCTCCTATAATGAAATATGTGATGAGGGGAAATGGCCCCTCAGCCATTGGAAATGTTGGGTGCATCTTGGGTTTATGTGGTCACCAACCCCAGGGATGGTGGGCCTCACTGTCCACAGGATCACCCACCCTCAGATGTTGGCCCCTTCCATTCTCCTCTCACTGAAGACAAGTGATCCCATATCAGACCGCCTGAGTTTGACATCTGGTGTCACTCTAAACTTCATCATCCTGTTAATGCACAACTTGGGAGTCAGCAGTCAGAGATCAAGTCATTGGGTTCCTGCTGCCCACCTTGGGGAACTGGATTGAGTTCCTGGCTCCTGCTTTGGGTTAACCCAGTCCCAGCTGTTGTGTGGACATTGGGAGAGTGAACCCTGTGGTTAGGATACAGAGAAATATCTTCCATCCCCTGGTTCATTCCCCAAATGACTGCCGTTTCGATGTCTGAGCCAGTCCAAAGGCAAAACTAGGATGTCCATCTGGGTTTCCCATGTGAATGGCAGGGGCCCCAGGTGCCTGGGCCATCGTCCGCTGCTTTCTCAGGCACACTAGCAGGGAGCTGGATCAGAGGTAGAGCAGCCAGGACTCACACTGGTGCCCTGGTACAAAATGCTAATGTCATAAGCAGCAATTTAATCACAACATGCCCCCCCCCATAATTTTTGTAAAAGGCAAAATAAAATAAAGATCTCATTTCTGGTGTGCAGAGGATAATTTTACTTGGATTTGCATCCCAGCACTTCTTCCTCATATTTGATGCCTCTGGGTGAGTTGAACAGCAGGTGTAAATGGACGTTCCCGCAGGGTACCACCACACTCCTGTCACCATAGGAGACATAGTTTTCTTTCCTTTTTTTTAAAAAAACAAATTCTTTATTGATTAAATGATTGATTTTGTAAGTTCTAGTGACAGATATGGTTCCATGGATCTTCTATCCTCTGGTACACTCCCCAAACAAACACAAAACCTGAGACTGGACCAGACTGAGGCCTAGCACCTGGAACTCCACCTGGGTCTCCCACATTGGTGCAGGGGCCCAGGGGCGGGACCATCACCAGCTCCCTTCCCACGTGCAGTAGAGAAACAGTAGCCAGGACAAATCTCAGCACTTTGATATGGGCTGCTGGCAGATGGGAAATTCTCTCCTCCCTGCCTGCCTGCCTTTTTTTCTCTGTCACTCCATTACTCTGCCTTTCAAATAAATCTTTTTTTAAACAGAAGTTAGGATGAATAGTATTCATAAGAAGATGCAGTTTTTTTTAAAAAAATCCCTGTCCCTTCACTATTTCTGTAGGACTAAAGGATGAAGAAATCTTGGTTAATATATACCTGAGCCTTGTCAGCTTATAATGAGGTCTTCAGTGAGCCACCTGTAACGGGCTGAACTTGGGAAACTTGCTGTGACTCAACTGACCTTTGCCCATTGGATTCCTTAATCATTTGGATGGTCTCCCATCTCCCACTCTGCATCAATCATTTTAATTTTAGGTAGTGATAAATGTTAATTACAAAAATGAATTGCCAAACATTTGATCAGGTATCTGTGAAGATGGGACTTTAATAAAATATATATTGAAGAAAGCTCTCAATTAGGGCTGACAATAAATAGCAGATGATCCTTTTAGTGGTTTAGTTTGACAGAGTGACAGACACAGAGAGCTTCCTTCACTGGCTCACTTTCCAAATGCCGGCCACAGCTGGGGATAGACCAAACCAACGCCGAGGCAGGGACCCAATCACTTGAACCATCATCTGTTGGCTGCCGATTGCATTAATAAGAAACTGGAGGAGAAACAGAAGAGCCAGGCATCCTCAAGAGAGGGCTTCATTTGCTGTGCCAGAACATCTGTCCCCGATGGATGCTTTTCAACCCTTTATGTTGTAGTGCACTGGAGTTTACTCCTTCTCTTTGTGTCCTTGCAAACTGCTCTTCAATCTCATTTGCCTGGTGTACAAATCTCTCAAGCCAAAAAGGGAGACAAGCTCAGCGCCCTCCCTATTTCATGCTGAAAGCTCAAGGAATCAAGTGCAGGAACAGGATAAACCATCCCCCAACCCCATCTGTCCTTTATGCGTGTTTAGCATTACTGTGCTTGGAGTCTAATCAGAGGGCATCGTTCTGCAGGACCCACAGGAACTAGTCTGCAGGAAGTAGCAGTGACCAGCTCCATGTTGGTTTGTTTCCCGTGCACCGGGCTCAGTCTGTTTGGACAGAGGCTGTGTCATGTGCAGAGGGGCTCTGTCCACCCAGGCAGCATGTCATCACAGGTACCACAAACAAGCCACTGCCTCACAGAACTGGCTGTGCCCCACCTGGGCAGCCAGCGAGGAGCTGGCAGTCACGAATGATGGCCACAGCTCGTGGATGTCCCAGCCCTGGTGACTCACGGGACCCAGAACACCACCCTTCCCATCACGCATTTCTGCCTTTGGGCATGTCACACCCTTTCCCCCCAATTATTAAAGGGAGGGCATTTTCATTGTCTTCCTTCTTTCTCTGCAGAAATTTTTTTTAAAGATTTTTTTTCTTTTATTGGAAAGGCGGATATACAGAGAGGAGAGACAGAGAGGAAAATCTTCCGTCCAGTGATTCACTCCCCAAGTGAGCGCGATGGCTGATGCTATGCCGATCCGAAGCCAGGAGCCTCTTCTGGGTCTCCCATGCGGGTGCAGGGTCCACAGGCGGGGAGCTGGAAGGGAAGTGGAGCTGCTGGGATAGAACCGGTGCCCATATGGGATCCCGGGCATGCAAGGCGAGGACTTTAACCACTGCGCCATCATGCCGGGCCCTCTCTGCAGAAATTTAAAACTTCAAGTATTTGCTGTCCTGAAGTTGAAATTTTTTATCTTTTTTTCACTATAACCTGTCTTCCAAATTTTCCCAAAAAGGATTCTTTTTTTTATTATTATTATTTTATTTTTTATTGTAAAGGCGGATATACAGAGAGGAGAGACAGAGAGGAAGATCTTCCGTCCGATGACTCACTCCCCAAGTGAGCTCAACGGTCCATGCTATCCTGGTCCGAAGATAGGAGCCTCTTCTGGGTCTCCCATGCGGGTGCAGGGTCCCAAAGCCTTGGGCCGTCCTCGACTGCTTTCCCAGGCCACAGGCAGGGAGCTGGAAGGGAAGCGGGGCTGCCGGGATAGAACTGGCGCCCATATGGGATCCCGGGCGTGCAAGGCGAGGACCTTAAACACTGCGTCACCGCGCCGGGCCCAAAAAGGATTCTTAATATTTTATGTTTTATAAGCAGGTATATATACAATAGAATATCATCTCAACCCATCTGTTTTTATGCTGCTATGTATATTTTCTGTCCAAAACAGCAAAAATAGTGGCTAGGAAACGTTTGGGATGCCCACATCCCACATTCAAGTGGGTTTGAGTCCCAGCTCCACTAATGATTCCAAGTTCCTGCTAATATGCACCCTGGGAGCCAGCACATGATATTCCTCTGACACATGTGAAAACATGGATTGAGTTCCAGGTGCCAGGGTCTGACTATATCCAATCAGATGGAAAATATCTGTGTGTTTCTGTCTTTCAAATAAATCAAATACAGAAAATGTTTTTTAAGAAAAACAATAATACTAGGCCCAGTGCAATAGCCTACCGGGTAAAGTCCTCAACTTTCATGTGCTGGGATCCCATTTGGGCACTGGTGTGAGTCCTGTCTGCTCCACTTGCCTTCCAGCTCTCTGCTTGTGGCCTGGGAAAGCAGTGGAGGGTGGCCCAAAGCTTCTGGACCCTGCACCTACCTGGGAGACTCAGAAGATGCTCCTGGTTTCAGATCAGCTCAGCTCTGGCCGTCGCAGCCACTTGGAGGGGTGAACCAGTGGTTGAAAGATCTTTCTCTGTGTCTCTCTCCTTTTCTCTGTAAATGTGATTTTCCAATAAAAATAAATAAATCTTAAGGGAAAAAAAACCCAATGTTATCAAAATAATATATAAAAATGAAACGGCCAAAAAAATTTTTTTGTGAATTCCTCTACAAGGCTTCATTTGTAACAGAATGAATGTGTTTTATAGTAATCAAAACAGATTTATGTGAATATCCTGTGTATTCAATTGCGTTAGTAGTAAGTAACAGTCTGTTATTGTAAAACTGCTTTCCTGAAAGAAGGTACATACTTTTTGCCTTATTTTTTCCTTCCCCCCCCAAAAAAACCATATTTTTGTTTCTATGTTTTTGCAAGATTAAGATAAGAAATATTTTCACAAAAAGAGCTGTACTCTTTGACCTTTGTCACAGAAGTGCTGTTCATTTGTCACCCATGAAGCCGTTCCTAAGGAAATTCTGTCCAGGTTTCATCTTAGCACTAAGGGAATGTATCTGACTTTTGTGTGTGTGTTTAAAGATTTATTTATTTTTATTGGAAATGCACATTTACAGGGAGAAGGAGAGACGGAGACAAAGATCTGGTTCACTCCCCAAGTGGCCGCAATGGCTGGAGCTAAGCCGATTTGAAGCCAGGAGCCAGAAGCTTCTTTCATGTGGGTGCAGTTTCCCAAAGCCTTGTGCCGTTCTCGGCTGCTTTCCCAGGCCACAAGCAGGGAGCTGGATGGTAAATGGAGCAGCCAGGACATGAACCAGTGCCCATATGGGATCCCAGCAGATGTAAAGCAAGGACTTAGCCACTGAGCCATTGCAACAGGTTCCTGGCGAGTTTCTGAAACTCATTTGTATGTTCTTTGAGAGGTGGAGGTAAAGAGAGAGAAAGAGACAGAGATGGGGAGAGAACACACACTCCCATCTGTTAGTTCACTCCCCAGGTGCCTGCATAGCCAGGTCTGGGCCAGACTGAGGCCAGAACCTGGAAGCTCAGTCTAGGTCTCCCACATGAGTGAAGATGCTAACTTGAACCATCACCTGATACCTCCCAGGATCTGCACTGACAACTCACACCCAGATACTCCAGTTGGGGAACTGGACTCCTTAATTAATGTCTAAATTGCTATGTCAAACACCCGTGCCTGGACTCCACATTTTTTAAACATTTATTTATTTGAAAAGCAGAGCCACAGAAAGAGAGCAAGAGAGAAAGATCTTATACTTGCTGGTTTGCTCTCCAAATGGCTGCAACTGCCAGGTCAAGGCGAGGCTAAAACCAAGAGCCAGGAACTCCTACAAAGATGTCAGGGCCCTTGTACTTGGGGCCCGTCTTTCATTGCCTTCCCAGGCACGTTATCAGGAAGCTGAATCGGAAATGGAGCAGCTGAGACTCAAACTAGCGCTTGTGTGAGACTGGAGCATTACAGGTGGTGGCTTAACACACTGCATCACCATGCCGGCTCCTGGAGCCTAAAGTGCTAGGACTTGATGTATGAAGCAAACAGACTTTGCATTTGTAGTCATAATATTTATTCTTCTCAAATATTGAGGATCATATGAATAGCTTTAATTATGCATCATGGAGAATTTCATTTATTCTAAACAGACCTTGAAATAAGGTTCTTAAATAACTCTTCTGACAGTTACACATTCATCTTTATATTTTTCTTTTCCTTCCTGGCTTAACAGTGTTAGGCAAACTGTTTGTAATTAATTTCACATAGACAAATGAAATAGACGAAGAATGTGAAGGTCTGTATCAAGAACTGTTATTTATCTTGCAAAGCTCCTAAACATGTTAATAAATTCATGGGTTTCTTGAAATTAAAGCCCTAAATTGTGAAACTGTGAAAGCGTCCCAGAGTGCCGGTGGCTCCCTGCAGCGTTTCCAAGGAGTGCTGCCGCGTTGGCTGCCCGGGGTGGGTGGGTGGAGAAGTGCCCCCCTTATGCTCCCATTTATTTATTTGAAAGATGTACAGAGAGAGGAAGAGGAAAAGAGATATTGATCTTCCATCTATTGATTCTAAAATGGCTTTCAGATTAACCTAATTATTTCATATTTACTTCCCCTCTTACAATTTAACAAGGAGTTATGTCTGTCAAGGTTTTCTGGTTTGGTTTCTACCTGATTTGTGGATGCATTTATGCAGGATAATCAAGCCCACAGTGCTCCTTAGATAATAACTGTCGAAAAAAGACTTTGAGGAGCCTGCATGGGGTCGTAGTAAGTTACACCACCTCTTGCAACACTGGCATCCCATAGGAACACAGGTTTCAGGACCCCCCGGGTGTTCTACTTCTAGTCCAGCTCCTGCTACTCATGGGAGGCCTGGATAGAATTCCAGGCTCCTGGCTCCACCTACTCTGGTAATTATGGAGTAAACCAGCAATGGAATATCTCTTGCTAATTTTGATTTTTCAAAGAAGCAAATCTTAAAAACAAAACAAGATTTCCGTGGGGCACAGTCACTGCTCAGGGTACCTGAATCCCATCCTAGAGGACCAGTTCAGGATCCTGATACTCTGTTACTGATGCAGCTAATACACTTTGGAATGCAGCAAAAAATAGCGCCAAGTGCTTGGACCCCTACCACCCACATGGGAGACCTGGATAGAACTCCTGACCCCTGCTGGTTCACTCCCCAAATGGCTGCAACAGCCAGAGCTGAGCTGGCCCGAAGCTGGTAGCCAGGAGCTTCTTTTGAGTTTCCCACATGGGCACAGGGCCCCAAAGACTTGGGCCATACTCTGCCGCCTTTCCAGGACATTAGCAGAGAGCTGGATCAGAAGTGGAGCAGCTAGGACTACAAATGATATCCATTTTGGATGTCTGGTGCCACAGGTGGAGGATTAGCTTCCTATGCCACTATACCTAGTCTCCACTTTGCCTTTTAAATAAGTGAAATTAATCCTTAAGAAAGAAAAATCTGGCTGAGAGAAGAAATTAATGAATAAAATAATGCATCGGATTCAATCTGGAGAATGCCAGAAGGAGGATACTATAAATCTTTGTCCTCAAGTGTTTCTGGAAGATTGTCACACTGGATAAGGAGCAGGCCTGTTTCCCAGTGCTTGCAGGGGAGAAGGGGTAGCGGTACTGAAGGTCATGGACAAAACCAGGATTTTGTCTAGCATGATAAGGGACTTTCCAGCAGTGTCTCAAGATAAACAGATTCCTTGTCCAGGAAAACTTCAGAAGGGAAGAACTAGAGATGCAGCCGTGAGTGGCACTGCAAAAATAAGTCTGTGACGGCAGTGGAGGAATTCCACACGCTGCATCTGGGAACCTGAGATTTGAGCCATTGTGCACATCTCTCTGTTGGCTTCCTTCCTTCCTAGTTAGATGAGCTGTCAGATAAAGGGATGCCACTGCCTCCCGGGACAAAGCATGGACACTTCCCTGTATCCAGGAGTCCCCCTTGCCAGCAGCACCAGCCTGTGCTGCTGTGCCGGGCACTCCCCACGTTTGTTCATCTTACCCCACACATTGCGATGCTGTGGGTTGTGCTGGGTGAAACACAGATTCCATGATCTTGCCTGTTCCTGCCTACAATAGCCTCCGATCTCTTCCATGCCTTGGGACATCAGGATGAGGCATTTTGGAAAGAATGCAAGAGGCAGCTAAGAATCTGTGTGTTATTTCTTCCTAATCCAGTCCTAGTCATGTCTTCCTCTTGCCCCTCTCTCCCCGCATACTCTTCTTTGACCCTCAGTAATGCTTTTTGGGGGTGATTTCCAAGGTGTGATGAATAGAGCTTCAAGCTTGCTTGTTCCCATTTCTTATGGCTAATAAAAATATTCTCCTTTTTTTTTTCATCTCATGTAACATGGGAAGTATTTCATGAATGTCCCGTGGTAATTTTCCAGTTTTAGAAAAAAAGGTTGCACTCTTCTGGTTAGGTATGTATCTGTGTATGGAATGATCTAGCAGAGTTTAAAAAAAAAAAAAAACCATTGGGAGGTGGTAGCCTGTTATTTTTAGGACGTTGTATCTCCCCACCCTTCTTTGCCCCAGTAGTTCCTGGCTAACTTTCCCATGAGTTTTTAACCTCTTGCTAGGCTGTGCTTATGTAACAGGAAACAGGCTGTCAGGAACAAACAAATAGTGGCATATCAGGCACACACGGAGAGGCAAATGGTTTAGTTTGCTCTGCCTTGAACTCGTAAGAGCAGGCTGATCTGTGATCTCAACTTCGAGTCTCTTGGCATGGCATTCTTACATTAAAATCATTGCTATCGCAGAAAGACACATTCGTCTTAGCAAGACCATGATTTAATGCTCCCCTTCTCTGTCTCAGGCAAAGGGAAAAAATGAGAAGAAAATGAACTGTTTATAAGGTGAACTTGCAGTGGTGTCATGTCCTGGGACTGCGGATTTAAATACATCTTCGCTTTCTCTCCAACTCTGAAGGCGGGAGTAATGTGCAAGCTCCAAGGGAGAGATGACCTCGGGAGGATCGAACTGGTCCAGAAGCTGGCGAGAGAGAACTGTCAGTTTTTGCAGACAGACAAGAAGGACGTGGAGAAGTCTGAGCACGTAAGCCCTTTTTCCGTTGGGGAACTGCAGGGATGGAGGGGTGAGAAGCGCTTCAGCCTGGCTCTCTTACCTTCTAAATTCTGGAAGAGTGGGATTCCTCCCTACAAGGCATCCTCATTGGTAAAAATGTTCTGTAACCCCGAGACCCTGTCTTTATAAGATAGTTCTGCTTGAGAGTTAAATCCTGTAGGCACAGGGAGTAGCCTTCCAGCCAGCATGAATGCATGTGGACTTTTGGTCCTAACCACAGGACTTAGTGTGTATTTGTTTTTGTTTTGGCTTTAGGATGTTTTGTCACATCAGGTAGTCTGGAGAACATGGATTTTCAAAAAATCATTCCAGCATTCTTTGATGTGGAGGACAAAGGGGTGGCCCTAGTACCCAGCGAGTTTGTGTCCCTAGCCACTCCACAATCGCCAGGACCCAAAGAGCAGCTGACAGATGCTGGCACCCAGCGAGATAGGGTCAGAGGGGAGCTCTGCCAAGTGTCTTACGAATGCTTGTGCCCCAACAAGAGTGATACTGTGTGGACGCGGCTAAAGCTGGGGAAAGGGACAAGCCGCCTGGTGCCCCTGAAAGTGGGCATTCATGGGCAGTCCTACAAGGGAGTGGACCAGCATCCATCACCCCGGGAAGATGGTGGCACTGCTCTCACCCGCTCCGTGCTGGCCACGGCTGGTTTTGTTGTTGTTTGTGAGTTGTACTGCTCTGGCCAAAATTGCTCATGGAAGAGAACATTCTTCTGTGCTCAGACACCTGTCTCCCTGCGGCTCCAGTTTCCCAGTGGGGAGTTGTTCTCTTTCCTTCATGGTTTCCTGCTTCAGCTCCATCCATAGGGATGGCAGGGTTTTCCTGAGTGGCAACAGAGGTGAGCTGTTTAAGGCTGGCCTGAGAACCTGTCGCGAACAGTGTACCATGGGATTGCAATGGTTGTTTCATAGAGGAGAATAAGCAGGCCTTTTCCAGGTCTGTGATGGAGGAGATCACCAAGTTGGTTGCAGGTGAAGTGTTCACTGTGCCAGAGATCACTGAAGGGCGTGGGGTGTTGGAAAATCTTCTAAAATCACCTCTAAGCTTGACTATGTCAGAACAGTCTGCTGTCCCCCTGTGGTGGCTTTGGGAGACTTGAGTATGGTAACATCGGTAGCTGCTTCAATACGCTGTGTTCCGTGCCTCGTTTTCATCAGAAGAGCAGCACGTTTCAGATGCCATATCTTGCCAATCTCAAGATAGATGTTTCTGTGCATGTAAGCGTCTCTGGAATCAGGGTGAGTCTTCACCATGGATGATGTGAAAGCTTGACACAGTTTAGACTGAGAGAGCATTTTTCTCTCTCAAGAAGTCAGTAGCGGCTTGAGGTAGGGCCGTGTTTTCTGAGCAGAGCCCCACCCACCAGGATCAGATATGATGAGCACCAGGCCGCAGACAGCTCTGTGTTTATTATAGAATATGCCCATGTTTCCCTCGTCTTCCATTTAGTGCGGCCTAGCACATTGCCTGGAAGTGCTGCCGCTGAGATGACAAGCGCCTCCAAACTCATAGCTATCAAAATGGGAACTTGATGGTGATCTTGTCAAAGAAAGTCAGTGATTTAGAGGTCTGAGCCTCTGCTTATGGCTGTTTGTTCTCTGTTGCCTCTAAGCTTTCATTTTGAGTTTGCAAAAGTAGAACACAAAGGTTTGAGGTTTTCTTTTATACTTCATGTGTAAATGTCCTGCAACAGATGCAAAATTAGCAACTCCGAAATGTTCGTGTTTCTGAGAGCAGAGATGGCGCAAAGATAAACAAGGGATTTGGGCCTTCCTCTGGATAGGTTTTCCTTGAAGCTGAAAGTGAGAAAAAGCCAATTCTTAGGATCTTTATTATTATTATCATCATCATCATCATCATCATTATTGGCTTAGTGAGAAATGTAAATGCAGCCTTATTGCAGGTTCTCTCCTGCAGGATAAGGCCAGTTGAACCAGTCAACAGCCAGGGCCTGTGTTGAGTGACGTAGTATGTCACTGAGTGATTTACTTGCTGTGAGATGCTTATGCTTTTAACAGTGAATTACTGGGGTTTAAAAACTGCCTAACACTGTATTTCAGGCTGTCCGATCCTTTGGATGTCTATGGACCGTGGCCTTCTGTGAAGGGCGTGGTATTCAGGATTTTCATTTTTCCCGCCCTTGGTTTATTTCAGCAGCGGTCAGTCATCTGCTCCTGCTCACGGAAAACTGGCCGGCAGAGGAAGCCGCCCTTTTCTGAATGCAAACCTACGTCTGCTGTTTCCTCTTCTTGTAACAATAATGGCCAGATCCTGCAGTCTCGCGCACGCACGCACACACACACACACACACACACACACACACACACACACACACACGGATTTCCTTTCCTTTATCATTTTGAAAAGGTTTCATCTACCATGCCTAGGCTGAAAGCTAAGTAGGCAATGGTGAAATTTAAGTTGTCATCCAAGATCCCTGTGCAGTCAAGTCGTTCTTTTTAGTAAATTTGTCACCGATTTCAGAAGGCCACTGACATGCCAAACACGAAGTTCACTTTGAAAAGCTGCTACTGCACAGGGGAAGAAATGAGTGACAGAATCTTGTATTGTTTGCCAGTATGCCTTATCATTTCTGCTATGAAACTGGTACATGCCATGATTCTACATACAGGCTGTTGGAGAAACACATCACTGTGCTTTTGCCAAGGTATTTTTGCAACATGAAAAATTCTGATGTGTAATAATCATGCGCTTCCCAGGAAACATCAGCTTTTCTATTGTGTATCAACTGGCTGTGGGCAAAACGAGACCATGTTCTTTCCTAAGCGTTAACGGTTATTATTGCTGAGACTACAAGAATGGTACAGGAACTGGGCGTGTCTCTGTATGTTATGATCCTAGGATTGATGTGCAGCGCTCAGTTCTTTAAAAAGAGATGGCCTCCCGTGTGGGCACCATATTTCCTGGTCTGGATTCTACAGTTGTATCAATACAGAAAGGGATGTGTGTTCTTATATGGTGGATGGGGAGGCCTTCTGAGTTTAACCTTGAGGTCAAGAGAGAAGAGCAGGGCAGGAGGAGAGCTCTTTAGACAGAGGGAGGGACAGGAAGACAGAGCTACAGTGCCGAGGGTGACTCACAGGGAACAGGAAAGTGCATGCTAGAAAAGACAAGCAGGTGTTGGTTATGAAAGACCCAGTAAAGCACCCCATGGCGTTTGGGCTTGCCCTTCTGGCACAGGGACGCCATCAAAGGAGGAAAGTGGCATAATCGGACGCGGCGTCTGTAAGATCTCTCTGGCCCCCGATGTAGAGGAATGCTGAGCCAGGGAGAGGGAAGGGCTGGAGAGACGCCCTGGAGAGGGACAGCTGGGAGTCTAGTGAGGGCTGCGGGTCTGAGCCAGGCCGGGACACTGGCCCCCATCAAGGTGGGAGATGTGCAAGGGCTGTGTGGATGATAACATTGTCAGAATCTGACAGTTGGTAATAGGGAACCTGTGTACCACTCCATAGGAAACATTTTTGAATTTTCATCCTGATTTCTTCAGGCCGATGGTCAACGTAACGTTAGTCTGCTTGAGCAGCAGAGTGGCTAGTCCTCTTTGTCCTAACAGCTAGGTAAACTGTCACCTCACTTTGCTTCCATGAAGTACGCTTCTGCTCTCTAAGATGTCCCTGTTCACCTTGCTGGCACTTCAGCAGCCATCACAGAGACTTCTTTATAGCTCAGACCTTTGGAATGTCTGGTCACCCCCTCGTTAGCTGGCTTCTTTGGGCAAAGCCTTGGCATTATGTTGAGCTCTGTGTGTATCTTCTTCAGCCTTGACTGTGACTTCAGGATTGCTCTCCTGACCCGCCTGGCCCTGGATGTGTTACTATTCTGTTACTCTGGAATGGTCTCCATCACTTACTGATGGAGCTTTTATGTTTTGTGTTGTAGAGGATCTGAAATAATATATGGTGAGTCCTCACCCAGTATAGTCCAGCTGTAGTGAGGAGAGGCTCCCTCCAGGAAATGAGATAAATGGAAGCAGTGGCACTAGCATGAGTGCGCATGCCATATGGGACACCCTGCCTCCCATGTCACAGTGCCTGGTTCAAGTCCCAACTTCTCTACTTCTAATCCAACTAGCTCCTTAAGTACATCCTGCAAGGAAGCAAATGATGGTTCAAGTACTGGGGTTCCTGCCACCCCCATGAGAGACTTGGGTTGAGTTCTGACCTTCTGGCTTTGGCCTGGCGTAGCCCGGTCTGCTGCAGATATGTGGGAAGTAAGTAAACCAGCAGGTGACAGAAGTCTCTCTCTGTCTCTCTTGCTCACTCACTCACCTTCACATAACACATGAAATAAATAAGAAAATTAGATTGAAAGCAATGAGGCAGTGATGCCGACCCCAAGGGACACACAGAGGAGATGGGAGAGGAGGGGGAGAACAGACTTCTCTCTTGGCAACAGAGGTAGAAATAGACCGGGACTTCAGGTTTCAAGTTCCATTCGGATATTCCTCGAGGGAGGGAGAGAGGTCAGTATACAAGAGGTTCTTCAGAAATACATTCACCTTAAGGCTCAGGGAGAGGAGAGAGATATACTGGGGACTAAGAATGGGGCCAGACTTGGGGAGACTCTGAGGTCCTAGAAGTTCCACACCACCAAGAGGAACCATTGAGTCCCTGGTTCCCTTCGTATTCATTCAGAAGAGGACTTGGGGGGCAGTGTTGTGGCACAGTAGGTTATTTCACTGCTCATGATGCAGGAATCTCATATGGGAGCCTATTTAGGTCCCAGCTCTCCGTTTCCAATCCAGCTTCCTGCTCATGTGCCTAGGAGAGCAGCGAAAGAGGACCCAAGTGTTTGGGCCCCCGCCAACCACATGGGAGACCCAGATGGCATGCCAGGCACCTAGTTTTGGCCTCATCCAGCCCCAGCCAATGGTGCTCTGTGTCATACTGTCACCCTACCTTTCAAATAAGTAAACAAATGAAAATGGGGATGAGGCTAGATGTCTGTGA